CCTTTTGTGGTTCATATTTAGGATCCTATATAATAAGGCAATCCCAAAAAGGAACCACCATGGAGCCTATGGGTAAATCCAAAGCCTCCAAAGCAAAAGTAGCTCAAGCCCTAAAGCCTAAACCCTATAGCTACGCCAAGTGGCAGCCCACGTGCCCGAAAGGGTGGCGAGACGAGAGGGCGGCCCAAGGTGGCCTTCTCGGGATTTATGGAAAGTCATTGAAACGGGGTATATTCTCCGAGAAGTGTACTGGGGATTCAAAAAATGGGTTCCAGCACAAACCCTTCCATTTTTCGAGGCCTTTGGCGTTCAGGGTTTCGAGTTTCGGTGTCAGGCTTTCGGGCTTCAGCGTGGACATTGAGGTTGGTATGGTTCGGGTAAAAGAGGCTACAGTGCAGCAAGATAGTCCGATCGATCCAAAAACTTTGCGCTTGAAACAAAAGTTTAAATCCAGACATTTGGACATCATGACAACGCCCATTCATTGAGGTGGTGAAACTATGCAACCGGCCTTCACACACAGGAGTTGTAGGTTAGAAGATCTACGGTTTTCTAAGGCTCGGGATTTGCCTTATAGGGGTTGCTGTGGGCTTTTTATGGTGAGGATCTTCAGGGATGCAAGACCGTTTGGAACGAGGGTTCTAGCGTCGTGAAACTTTGGGATGCTCTTGGGTGTCTGCGATCAGAGGAAGCACTTGGCCTTCAAATGTCTCCCTTCAGGCACAACCCCTCGGGCGGATGCCTGCAACTTATCTCGGACGTCTTCGATCTTCCAAGTCGCCCTGGTGCAGATCACGCCTGAGACCTGGGAAGTCGAAGCGGAGCTATTTCGGCAAAAGAGGGCGGGGAATCCGAAACATTCACACTTGTTCCCAACACTTGCAGGACGCAGGCCTTGACGGCATATTTGCCGCTTTTACTTACTGTGTCTCTCCGCTTGTTGAACCACCGTGTGCTCCGCTGACCTCCACTGGATAAACACCTCTTCATGTACACAGGACGCTGCTGTCATTGTGGTTGGGCGTGCTATGGTCGTGCTTTCTGTGAGTGCAGCGGGGAATAGCAGAGCACAGAGGACTTAAACGTGTGATGCTGTTAGACCCCAGCCCCTGCCGGAGGCTGTTGTTCAAAATCACATTCCATCCCAGGCACGGTGAACCCTCTTTCTGCAGACCAGTCACATTGACTTGTCCGACTGTGATCCCCGGAGCCTCCTGCAAGCAGATGATGTTCTAGAAATTGTAGGAGCTAATCATGCTGCAAAAAAACCGGTTTCGAAGCTCGAAGGGCAAGGAGTTGTGACAAGTGCTTGGGAAGATGCCTTGATGTTGTCGGTTTCCGTGCCGATTCTGAAAGCAACTGCCGTCAACTTCTGACCGGAAGAAAGGTTGATGTCAGTAACTTCCATTCAGTTCGGAGACTTTGTGGCCAATGATCATGTCGAGTTGATGACACCACCATTCTGAAATGTGATGCTCCAAAGGCTGTGGATCATCCTACAGAGGGTGCTGCATTCCTTATGTGAAATCTTCCGAATGAAATCTTCGGAGCTTCTGCAAGCCATTTTCGCGGCCCCAAGTTAAGCGCATAACCCAGAAAGCCCAGCCGCGCCTCGAGGTTCAAGGGCTTCACGGAAAGCAAAGGGTCAACAAACTTGGAAAGCAAAGGGTCCACAAACTTTTGCTGCAACTGTTCAAAGCTGGGCGGACTTATGCCCCTAGCCGAGATAAATTCTTACCGCAGTAGAACTGCCAGATTCGAACAACCGAACATGCAAGGAAAGCCTGCCACACCCCAACCACAAAACAACCCACAACCCTGAAAACCCTCAAGCCCTAAACCGTCAGCCCTAAGACGTCTAAAGTCCCAAACCCTATCTATCTATCTATCTATCTAACCTCTATAAATATATACATACATATATACATACATACATACATACATACATACATACATACATACATACATACACAGATACACACACACACACTTGTATATGTGTTTGTATGCATATATATATATAATATGTATGTAACCCTCAGCCTCCGAGGTCTCTCCCTGCGGAATCGGCTCTCCGCGGGCGCTCGGCTTCGTCCACAGCGACGCCAGCGCGGCCACGGAGATCTCGGAGGTGTTGGAAATCAGTCTTTACGGTTTTTGTTGGGGTTTCGGGGCTCTTTAGGGTCTGCGGGGTTTCAGCTCTTTTCAGGATGTTTTTGTTTAAAGCCTTGGGCTTTAGGATAAGGCGTTGGGGCTTTAAGATAAAGCAGGCTACAAGGATGTGGGGGTAAGACGGTTTAAGTCAAGTGTTTTCTTGTCGAAGGACCTGTCGTCCTGTTGAGTCCAAGGTGTATGTTAGGCGCCTCTCAGATTTCTAAAAGTGCTTCCCCGGCACCAATTCCAGCCTCAGAATGCGAACCCAACTCGGTGTTGTAACAAAAGGTGTACTCAGGGCATCCGAAAACCCTGGCAAAATGGTTCAGCCTTTTGGAATGTGTCTCTGACCGCCAGAAGCTCATAATCACATGGCAGAAGCCTGCAACCCTCGATCCAAAGCAATCTTCGGGTTCAAACCATACATATACTCGCCAGACACCCCGGTACAGTAGCACTTCCCTAGGCAGTCTGAAGCAGCCCGAACGGACTCTTCTTTGCGCCTGCTCTCCATGTCGACTCTCAGCCATTTGCACCTCCCACGGCTCAAGCCATGGCTTTGCTCAAGTCTTGTAAAAGCTTACGTAAGTACTAGACTAGACTCTCAGGGATGGCTCCACATGGGCATGATGTCCACCCGAGTCTAAACAGCTGCAACAAAACTTCTGCCTCCTTGTGTGGCACGTCGGTGCCCCAGAAGGCACCACGGTACCAAGTTCTACTTAGCCCTTGAATCCCAAAGCCGAAACCTTAACACACCACAAACCTTGCCTGATGCGTGCGGCTGGGTGCTGTTGGGTGCGTCGTGGATGCCTCAGTCTCAGGAACAGCAAGCCCTGAAAGGTTCGCTCAAAACCGGTGTTTCGGGGTTGGTTTTCTAGTCTGTGGAGCATAGGCTGTCCAAATAGGCTTTGAGGAAGGATCTGTCCCAAAGGAGAAGACATAAATGTCCGGGCACATGTGCGAATGTGGAAGTAAAGTGAAGAAGATTAGATCAGGAAACCCATATCGGGTTATATCGGGATAGCAGACATAGTAGTCAGTAGTCAACGTGCATACAGTTAACTGAAGACAGAAACCACAAATAGATTCAGATAGACAGACACATGCAGATACCCAGCCACCCAGCCACCACACCCGCACCCACCCACGTTACCCACGTCAACCACCCACCCGACCCACCCACCCGCCCGCCCGCCCGCCCGCCCGGCCCACCCGCCCACCGCCACCCGCCCACCGACCGACCGACCACGCCACCCACTCATCCCACACACACACACACACTCACGCGAAAACGGAACGATCCAAGACGAGAACTGGCGATGTGTGATGCTCATATGTTGAGTGCAGGCAGGACCGAACGATGGCAAGAGGGCAGATACAGCAACGAAGAGATGCGAGAGAGAAAGCGAGAGAATGATAGAGAGAGAGAGAGAGAGAGAGAAAAGGAGAGACGCCGAAACACATAATATCGCCTCTTCTCCGGCCGGTCCCTCACTGTCTGTACGAGTCGCGAGACTTCCGCCGGTGAACTACGGCTGCTTTCTTTATAACAATTGGACTCCCAAACTCTTCTCCCGCAGAACCAGAGCCCCGATGGGCGGCGTTGGTGGGACTGCGAGGCCAAGCAGGCAAGTTCGTCGGCATGTGTCCACCGCGCGGCTTGCAGAGGGAAGACACAGGCGGAATGTCCACGGAGATCAAGCGATCGCACAAGCAATGCTCTCTGATTTTCTTCCGAAACCTCATGGCACTGGCGGCGAAGATCTGTGCTTCTCGTCATAAGCGGTCCCAAAGAATCATTTTCGGCTCCTCGTCCGTGTGCTGCTCGTGCTCAAGCATCGACACCAGAAGCTTCGCGCTGGCATACTGAAACGTATGATACAACACAAGGCCCAAGAATGGAATGTAAAAAACCACAAGTACGACAGTGCCAAAGCCGCAAAGGAACCAGCCGTGCCGGTATACAAAGATCCGTTCTTGCTTATAGCTCAGCCGATATGTGTACTCACTCAGCAGCTCGGTGCTCAAAGCAACCGAAGCTATGTACCACTCGTAGAAGCGCAGGAATGCTGTGGCCACCCCGACATTGTCGAACATGAGATAGGCCACAACCAGGTTCCTTGACTGCTGGACCAACGGCTAGGTTTCCTCAAGTGTCCCCCACGATTCAGCACCAACACCGACCTACCTGTAGGAGCTGCACCATACCTGTCCGAAGCACCCTACGCCCCAAGTGTAAGAGATACTCCAAGGTGCGCCAAGAGCATCAGGAGATTACTTCGATTCCACAGCCGGGCGTGAGGCGTCGATGGGTCCGCAGCACCCGGCTGGCCCTTCTTCCCATACTTAGGGTCGGCAAAGACCCGGACCTGACAGATTCAAGCTTCCAGTCTCTCCACACTTGAGATATCTTAAAGTACTGGTCGGAGACTGGACTGAGCCGAAGCTATGCAGAGGCCTTAGAGGCTGTTTCACAAAGAGGCTTTCATGTTTCAGAAACACTTCCGACCTTCCTGTAGTACTTGGAGTATTGGGTGTAGAACACCGTGAAGACGCTCAACGCGTGCTGCAGCCGACGGAAGCCCATTTTCAACAGGAAAACCACCACGGAGAGGAGCACCAGCTTGCCGATGGACTTCAGAGAGGCGAGCAGCCACATCCAGTACCTGACTTGCAACATAATTTCGTCAACACGTCACAGAGGCTTAAACCATCAAATCCCCTGTGGTGTGTTCACAGAACGAACGAAACCCCAGTTCTCAAATGTGATAGCATCACGAACATATCACCATGGTGCATCGCACACCAATATAAGAAATGGACGCACCGCTGAACCATGCAGGCAGCCCGAGCAGAAACGAAGCCTCTGAATGTGAACTTGACCGTGTTGATCCTGTATCCGACAAGCCAGTGCTTCCCAAACTCAAGAAACCTTCTCACCTTCAAGGATGTACAGACACTTGCAGTACAAGGCAATATAATATGAGGGCCCTAGCAATTATAAAGAAGAATGCTTCGTTGGGTGGGATACAGGGTTATTCTCTAGTATACAATACTACAATTACTACGACAAAATCTAACAACAAGCATGAAGTTACTTGGAGCAGGGATCGCCTTCCTTTAGGGTGCGGTTTCCGGTGGGATTCGTTTACAGTTTACATGACTCTTTCGTAAAGCATGCAAGGGGCTTAAGAGGAATTGCAACAGTCTGTCTGCTAGTCTTTACTGCTTTGGTGCATTCTCCGACGCCTGCTGACCATCAAAACCAAAGGACCGAGATACCTGTCGGACTGCACAGGCAGGTTGCAGAGGCCTTCCCGAAGCCTGGGGAACTGCTCCTGCACCGTGCCATGAGGACTTCAGAAAGTACGGGCAGGGGGCTCTGTTCTGGACCTTACAAGTCGGCAATGATCCTCACCTAATTAAGCGCCTATTATGTTAAGACCCTATCCTTAGAGCTCGCATGACCCAACGGCATGCTCAATCTGTAGACGCACCAGACAGGAATGGCATGACCAATCCATCTGACATCTGATGTTAAGCATGTTTTAGGATTCTACAGCATTCACCAGCATGTGTTGCACCTGGCCACTATGTAACACAACCGAACTTATGTGATCATCGGATCTGCTTGCCAATATCCCACGTTGCGATAGATACGCGTGTCGGAACAATCGTGTGATCTGAGTATCATGCATGTGGCTTTGGGTGCACGGTGACTGGACGTCGTAAAGCTAGTTCCCGTGTAATGCCCCAATCATGGGAGCAGCGGGGCTGATGACGCTTAGCTGCTAAAGGCTTGGCTATAGCCACGTCGAAACTTCATTCATCCTGCTCACAACTTCCCCTGAAGCTTCAAACAAAGGCTTTGCGGTTTAGAGGTGTGGGCTGACTTCGGATCCCGGCTTTCGAGCTTTTGGAAGGGTCCCCCCCCCCCCCCCCACACAAAACAACAAAAGCGGTCCAACAGTTGTATGGAATCCATGTGAATCCCATTCACATGTAACATCCTAGGACAGCCCAATCAACACAAAGCCGCTGGTCCAGGTGTGAGAAAAAGGGCTTGGAGCTGAATAGCATCAGGTTCCTGGAGCTGATTCGCGGAGGAGCTTTGAATCACGGGGTCTGGGGTATGCATGGGCTTTGGGGTTTTGTTAAGGCTTAAAGCGGGTTCCAAGAGGGTTTCGGCTTCTGGTCTCACTGCTCATGTCGGCGAAAGAAGCTGTCGGGCGAGCAGTACCTAAACCCTTGAAAGTAGGTAAAACCATGGCCCAATACCCGTAAAAGGTTAAGACTCTATAGATAATTGTGGGGGTTCAAGTAGCTTTCCCTGTGGATCTGGAACTGATCGGCCAAGAAGCCGCGCCAGGAAAAGGACGATGAGCGGCAGGTACCAGCATGCATCAAAGATGAGGTTGTAGAAGGTGATTTGGCTGTGGACAGCCGCGGCAGATTGGTTCCACTCCGGCTTAGCCAAGAAGATGATCAGACGAACAAGATAAAACAAGAGGTGGACAGGTATTAGCAGAATCCCACAGACCAAGCTTGTCACCAGTATCGAGATCAACAAAGTCCTCAAGTTGCTTGTGGTGTATCTTTGCTGGGCTTGCCTGTGACTTGTCCAAAAATCGTAGCATCCAGAAATGTTGGCCGCAACACCGCAGCAAAGCTGGTGGGCACCACTGGCGACGGCTTTCTGCAATGACATGGCTCCAGAACTCCACAGCAATGTCAGCGGTGCCTAGAAGCTCAAGCCTGCGGCGAGCCTACCGCTGACTCCCAAAGCCCAAAGCCGCATCATTCATGCAAGGCATGCGCCGAGCTGAATGGAGTGGCAAGTTGTGTTGGAACTGGTACACTGCTTCCTGATTGCTCGACATAGATCCCGGACTTTAGGCACCCGTCGGAACTGTTCCGTAGAAGCAGCAAGCTTTGGAGAAGCACGTCCTAGCTGTCTCGCACCCTTGTGAGAGTCTGAGTGCTTACTTATTGGGGAGAGTGAATGATCCGAGACCCTTTCCAAATAAGGCTGAGTCCGCGGCATGTAGGCGTGAGTGTTGGGTAGGCTGCGACATCTGCTGCTGCGGCACCGTATGATGTGGCATGCGGGGCATATGATGTGCCTGCAACGGCTGTTGCGGCAATTGCTGCGCTTTCGCTTGCGACGGCGAGATGTGTGGTGGCTGCCCCGCCGCCTGCGGCAATTCGCTGCAGCTTCGAAAAGAAGACCGACCGGGGTAACAATTGCATGATCAATTGGTGCTCGTGGTGCCCGACCGGACTACGACCAAAACCTCAACAGATCCCAGGAGGCTGGCAAGTGTAGCCCAAGTCATATACTTGAAGAGGCAAAAGAAACAGCGCTCGCGCCTGTGCCAAAGCACCTGCATAGGCATGAGCCTCCCAAAAGACAGGTGGGTAGTTCTCTAAATCAGGGTCCCTTCTTAAGAATCCTCGATAGCACAAGGAACCCTAAATGGGACCGTAATTTACGGAAGCACCCCAGGTGTATGGATGCCCACAGCTGCTGTAATGCGCTGCAAGGCTTTCTGACAGCCCGGAAGGTTTGGCTTTATAGGGTTTAGGGTTTAGGGTTTTGGCTTGACTGGTGTTGTACAGGCCAGCTTCCCACAATTCTCAGAATTTGAGCTTTGAGTCATACGCGCAGGACATGCGCTCTCTTGTGCGAACACTCACAAGGCAACCCCTGAGATTGACAGTTTGCGATGTGCATAAGCGGGGGTGATCAGGAGCTTGCGATTCTACGAATACCTTCACAACGGACCCCCTGATTATTCAGCTGTCTCACATTGATAGAAGTGTCCTTTCCACCACGGATGCTTGAATCCACCTCTATACGCCACGCATGAGATGCATAACTCAGCGCTCAGGGAACCACGACCTGGCTCTGGGAGTTTCAGAGAGGAAGGACACCCAATACATGCCCTGAATGGTCATAACCTTCAAAGGTAACCCCCCCCCCCCCCCCCCC